CAACACAGTCCCAACTAGTAACCACTAGTCATTCTTATTCACTTGCTGTATTCAACACACCAACACAGTCCCAACTAGTAACCACTAGTCATTCTTATTCACTTGTTGTATTCAACATGCCAACACAGTCCCAACTAGTAACCACTAGTCATTCTTATTCGCTTGTTGTACTCAACACACCAACGCAGTCATCAGTTTAATTACTTTAATCCAAGTTTGACTTTAGAGCCATGCATATTCCGTGGGCCTCAGCTATTTTATACAAAAACTCCTTGCCACTTACATGCACTTTTCCCAATATAGAAACAGGAATTGTGTTCACCAAATGTGATGTCTTATTTCAGGAGACACACTGGAGACTCGCCTGCTTCGCTACTGGATGCAGAGAAACATCACGTCAAGGTTAATCCCAAGGTAAGGGGATTGGATTGGAGAAGATCACGACATTTTTCAACAACTTACTGGCCGTGGGCCTATGCATTCCCTTTTACATTATATTGTGGCACATGCATTGTTACAGTGACTTTCTTTGAACCAATCAAAGCGCGCGAGATCTCTACTAAATCTGGCAATTGTCTCAAGTCAAGGTTGGGATTGATGAACACATCAAGGTCTGCACACAACCCCGTTTCGGATACGGCACCTCATGTACCCGCTACCTTGAGTGTACCATAGTCATAGGAAATGTACGCAATCTCTCGCACACCCACTGTCCTTTAAAATGTCATTAACTACTCATTTATCTCGCCTACAAATTACATCTTTAATCTACAGGTTGAAGGAAGAATAATAAACATCAGAGACAAGGTAAGTTAATAACCGTCAACACTGAAATTACTGCTATTTTTATATACATGCGAACTCGGTAGCTACGAGCTGCACGCTGAAATTTGTTTTTTCGCCAGTCAAAAATATGAAAGGTACGGACTGATAAGGTTTGACGGACGGCAGCCAAAGAAAAAACAAATTTCAGCGTACAGCTCGAAGCTACCGAGTTCGCATGTTTATAAAAATAGAAGATAGAAATGACAACACAAAGGAAATTATAACACTGGATTTTTAACACTTTTTTTTTTGATAGAACGCAGAAATACGAGAAACATCTCAAAACCAAGAGAAGACGGAACAGTCAAACGAGCTCGACGATGACGACGAGAAAGAGGTGGTGACAAAAGTCATTTCTGGTTGTATAGAAACTGCGGCAAATGACTCCAGAGAGGAGAATGACACTAATGGAAACTCTAAACGTGATGGTCCGTCCATCCAAGTCATTGCGGGTGGTGCTAACAATACAGGAGGTGAAACAAGTAATGAAACAAATGTCAATGAAGAGAATCAACCTGATATGTCCTCTGCTTATCCCGACAAGGTATTTTATTGGTTGRTGTTGATTGATTTTTACTGGGAAATTCCTTGTATCACAACTTTTCCTTTTACATACTGGGTAGCACTTAACAGCCAGTGGCTAACATACCTGTGGCCCTTGTTCCATGATCGAATTGGAATTTAGAAGTCGATTTTTGTGGAGGGAGGAAAACCGGAGAACCTGAAGAAAAGCCCTCGAAGCACAGGAGAGAACCAACAAAAAAATCTACTCACATACGACACCGAGCCCGGCAAGACTCTGAACCCGGGTCGCATTGGGGAGCCGAGCGCTCTTATCGCTACGCCACCCGTGCTTCACAAGTTCCCTGTCGCGCTAAAAGGAATTTCAAGATTTGCAAAATTTGCGACAGCGACATCTACCGGAAGTGCAAATAACTTCACTTTGGGGTTTCGARCCTTCAAAGTCTGTCTTCCTTGTGGATGAGTCGACTTTACTGACAATGTTTTGAATGAAATCTCCAATGAACAGAACCCCAAAGAGAAATTGTTTACACTTCCGTTTGACGTCGCCGTCGTAGATTTTGTAGATGGCGTCTAGTTCGTCTCCTAAAACAGCCCCAAAATACACTGCGATACCAACTCGACCCAGTGTTTTGCTCAACCTCGGAATGGCTAATAGCAAGAGAAAATGAACTAGGAGAAGGAATCTCTGGTATTCATGCTTATAAGCACTATTTGATGCTATTTTTAGAATCACATTTGCCATCGTTTGTTTTTGTAGTGCGCGCGCTCTACGCTGTTTGCTCACGTTTTCTTGAAGAATACATGGAAACATGAGCAAACACGGTAGAGCGTGTGCAGTATGCGCGTGCGCAAAAACAAACGATCAAAAGATTGATTCTAAAAAAAGCATCAATGGTTCTAAAATAGCATCAAAGAGTGCTCATGATGGGGCGCGGGGATTCCTTCTCTTAGTTCATATTATTTTGCTAATAGTCCTTTGACGATATTTTGAGTCACGTTTTGTGTTCTATTCTATCACCAGGAAAACCAACCTGACCTAGCGACAGAAGATGATTATTGGGACTTGTGGGAAGCTGTTAAAGTAGATGACATTGATGTGGTTAGTATCATAGATAATGATAATTTAAAAGGGACCTTGAAACAAGTAAGGTTCAAATCACTATCCAATCTCGAGTCCAGAGTCTTCAGTCTTTTGGGTCATTGGACTGACGCGAACGACAAAGAAAAAAGGCGCTGGAGGACCCTAGGTACGAGATTGTATCCACCCCAYCCCCCTCCTCTCTGTCCTGAAACTCATGTTAGTATCATGGAGAACAGACAGACTAAAAAAGTGTTAAGGCTGTAGCCCACATGACCCTCTGCACCCGTGGACTGTTTAATCTCATTCATAACGCGTTCAATCGAGAATACTGATCAATCATTGAAGTTCAAATAAGGTATAACTGTGCTATACAATGAACTTATCATCTTGTTATCGTAGCGGGAAGATTTAGTACGTCTGGGTTTCCGCCCGATGTAACTTTGGATTGTTTCTAGAATATAACCGTTTCAAAAATGCTTTCCAGTAGTCCATACAATAACTCCCTTGCGAGGCACCTAAGATATTACGTCAGGCCCTTATCACGTGCCGAGGTGAACTTTTTGCATATCCACGACACTAATCTTAGTTTTTGTAAAAATGTATTTATCTAATATTTCATCAAGACAAAATCACAGTGACAATAATTGATATCGAAAAATGAAGTAACTTGTTTTCACCATTGACGTAAACTAAGCATCATAACGCGATAGTGCAAGCGCTAAAAGAGCGCGGATTGTAGATGGGTACTTTAATGTTGAATGAACGATTTTCGTTTATTCGTGCAACTATATGCTCAAGAGGGGCAATAACTGCGATGGAATATCAGGACGGTGTATGTATGCATGACACTGTCGTTATTATACTGTGTAAGTGAAAACAATATCTTGTCAACGATAGGGAAGAAGTTTCCATGTGATAGGTAAATTTGGCTTTGGAATATTTTTGGTATCTAATGGAGTACATGAAATTAGAATATCTTCCATCGGCCCCGTCTTTTCGTTCTCGCATAAATTTATACCCTTCTGTAACCTTATCATTTTTGACCCGGGCCGGTGCTTACCATTTAGCCGGAAAAACCGGAAATTCCGGTTGGAAAAACAAATGAAGTGTGTCATTCCGATCGCAGAAAGTTCTTGAAAACTCGACCTTCCGATTGATTTCACTTTTCTACCTCTTTTTGGTTCTTCCGGTAGACGCGTGTACCATTTGTTCCAAAGTTAAGGTTTCCCGCCCTTTTCTTACCAGTAACAAACGGATGGATTAGTTTAAATGGTAAGCACCCCCGGTTTCATGCTCTAAAACCGGGCCGTTTTTTTAGGACCCTATGGAAAAGCACTCATATTGCTCTATGTATTCTCAACATTATTTATTGGTTAGTTGCCTAAGTTGACCAACGATCGATGGGCTAACTATAGTAAATCTTGGAATGACGAAAACACAAAAAATCCAGGTTTTTTTTTACCACGGAAGAGTGTTTCCTTTGTAATCTATAAACATGCCACTCTTTGATTCGTCCAACGATCCAATAACCTTCATCATTCCAGAAACACTATCGGATATACTAACAGTTGCGGCCGGCCCACCCATTTCAGTCCGTGCCCAGCCAGGATGAAGAACAACAGACACTATCCCAAAAGGCTTCAGATCCACGCTCAGTGACCTGTTAATTGAATTCAAAGCTGCTTTACTTGCTCGGTAAGAATACAGTCCTCCAGTCGTATTCTTTTCGATGGAGCCAAGAATGGAAGACATATTCAAGACAAGTGCGTTGCTTGATTCCTTATTGGGATCAGCGGCTGCTTTCTTTAAGAATGGCAGGAAAGCCTGTGTCAGCATTAGTGGCCCCACCACATTTGTTTTGTAAAGTTGGCTTATTGATTCAGCTTTGATGTTTGCCAGTGTCGCTCGGTCAATCGTACCAGCATTATTGAACAGAATGTCAAGACCTCTTCCTTGTAGTTTTTCGCCTACTTCAGAAACCGCCCTTTTGATGGCTTCGTGATTATCGACATCGAGTTGAATGAGGTGAAGGTTTTTGTTTTGAGAGGCAAGTTGCTTGAGCTCATTTGTACTCCTGGGTGCTAAGGATCTACACGTTGCGAACAAGAACTCTGGAGGACATGGAAGATTGAGGAACTGCTTGACGAACTCTAACCCAAGACCTCGATTACAGCCAGTGATGAATATACTTCTACAACTTGTAAGCGCCATTTAGTAATCAACTCAGGCAGTCAACAATAGGCTTTTATCTCCTGTTGAACTTTAATTTAACGTCTGCAGGAAGGTTTTTTCTGTCCCTAGTATGAATCTTGGTCGACACTGTTCTTGAAAGGTTCTTGGAGAGGTTCTCCTGCCTCGTGCTTAGTTTGAGTCACTCAGAAGCCAAAACAAAACCAATCGTGAGATGGACGATGTGAGTTGTTAGCTTCAGTTACGTAACATTGAACTCAGTTAAGGTGTCACACGATTGTTGCAGCTCAGTGAGCGTTGCATTTTTAAGGTCAATTATGGACGCCGATTTAGCGTCTGGTTCACTGTATAAGTACAGAAAAATTATTTGCGATGGCTCTGTGTCAACAGACGAGGCATCTTACCTTCTGCTCTCTTAAATTTTGGATGTTTTTGAGAAATTCATTCATGATAATGGAAACTGAAGACTAGTTTGTTTTCATCTAACCAACCCATCAAGATACAAAAGATTACTCAAGTAGAATGCGTGACTCGATCAGTTTTATTTTAAAATTTGTAATTCATAATTGTCTTGAATAGACAAAGGATTCACAGACCCCAGACTGTAAAAACTTTATTATTCGAATAAATCCAGACCCTATATCGTACTTTTGAGCGGCAGTACCTTTTTCCCTACATAATGTGCCAGTTTGTAGGATAGTGTCCCGGGGGGATAGTGTCATCCAACATTTTTTACATTTAAGATTCAAGCTATTTTTATGAGAACACGTTTTTAGTGGCCCATGTGAGTCTGGTCATAGTTTGCCATCATTCTACCAGGGGACTATTTGTCCATCATATCTTATAGCTCCCTTCTCAGTGAGCTTTTCATCCAAAGACCCAAAGGTTTTCATCAACCCAGAGATGGATTGCTCGGGTGTTAATGGCGGCTTTCCAACGGGCTCCTCCGATCCCATGTCCGTGGCTACCCAACCAGGATCACAAGCGAACACGCCGATACCAAAGCTTTTTAAATCAACATCCATCAGTCTGGTCACGCAACTTAATGCCGATTTGCTTGCAGTGTAGGGATAAGGGACTCGGGTACGACGAAAGGTACTTGATGCGTAGCCAGCACCCACGTTGATGATTGCTGCTTTAGGTAAGCTACGATCTTCAGGATCCTGAGCTGCGGTCTTGAGGAAAGGAAGAAGACCCTGAATCACTATGATGGGAGAGACTGTATTGGTTTTGTAGACTCGCATCATCGCTTCTGGTGTAATTTCTCCGATCACTTCACGACTCATGATCGCAGCGTTGTTAAGTAGCAAATTCAACCCCTCGYCTTGTAATTTTTCGCCAACCTCAGAGGCCACCTTCTTGATGGCTTCATAATCATCGACATCCAGCTCAATGAGATAAAGGTTTTTGTTCTTGGAGGCAAGTTGCTTGAGCTCATTTGCACTCTCAGCGGCTAACGATCTGCACGTTGCGAACAAGAATTCTGGAGGACTTGGAAGGTTTAGAAACTGCTTGACGAACTCTAAGCCAAGACCTCGATTACAGCCAGTAATAAAGACACTTCTACAACTAGGAAATGCCATGTGGGATGAGAAAATTTCAAGACGTAAATGGAAAAGCGATGCAGTGGGTACCTTCAGCCTTTTGATGCCTTACTCGTTCCCAGACTTCCCAAGCGGTAACACAGAAAAACCAATCCTTGACATTCAAAAAAATTTGAATTGAAATATATCTTGTGCTAGTTTTAAAAATCTTTTTTCATTTTTGCTTATTTAAATTTTTTACCCCAAAATTATTTTTTCAAGTTATAATGGACCAAATCCATGTAATGTTTTCCCATTTCAGACCACGTGTTATAACCTTGAGAATAAGATTCTTTGTTTCAGTTGTATCCATATTCATGTGTCTTCTCATGTGCAACGATTAAACAAAGAAATGGTACTATAGGGAATGACACATGGTCTGAAATCGGAAAACATTGGATTAGGTCTATTGATATCTCAAAAACTGTTTCGCCTGTTATCTCTTGTCTCCGAAATTAATTACCCTGCTTCTTATGCTCAAAGACTTACAAGGATGTTTGCATATTTCTGATCAAATATGCTAACAAATATAGGCTTTGCGCCATCACTTGATGACAGCCATGACAGGAGACATGACAACAGTCTGTCAGAGACCTCATTCACTCGTCTTGGTGCAATGGTTACCCATTTCAGACCAGGTATCATTCCCTAGAGAATAAGCTTCTCTTTTTAAGTTGTATCCATTTTCTTGTGCCTTCTCTTGCACAACCATTAAACAAAAAATAATACTCTAGGGAATGACACGTGGTCCGTAAAGGGTAAAAATTGCACCAAAAGAAATTTAGGGCTATTAAATTTGGAATTGATCTATTTTTGCTTTTAGGTGAAGAATTTGCACGAAGAAAAGCACATTTGTCTGACGAGATTACAAGACAACAAGACAATACTTCACCTCGCAGCAGAAAGAAACGCTTCCAAAGTAAGGACAAGAAAATGTCATTTGGTTTTCAAGGATTTTGATTGGTTGTTTCGTGTTTCCGAGCTTGTTTTGATTGGCTCAGAGCAGTGCAGTAACGTCAGTTTGCCATATATATAATTCTGCTGATAGTCTATGTCATGTGACATGCACCACGCATCATAGATCGCCTTATTCGACCACCTGTCATTTCATAGAGAATAAGATTCTTTGTTTGAGTGTTTTCCATATTCATGTGTCTTCTCAAGTGCAACTGCTAAACAAAGAAAAGATACTCTAGGGAATGACACGTGTTCTGACATGGGAAAACACTGCACCAAGACGAATAAGGTCTATTTTGTCAAACCTGAAAATAACTCTGGGCTGATCAGACTCAGAGCATATCTAACTCACAGATCAGATAGGAAATGTGACAGGAGAAAAACTAGAGAAACGATAATACTCCCTCTAATCAAGGGAGGGAGCCAACAAACTCTACTCACATGTGTTACCAAGTCCAAAAATTGAGTGCGCTATGATTATCCAGCTTTGATTCCCGATGAAACAATCAGAATTCAAAAATCCCTTTCACAGTTCCCTGCGCCATCTTTAATAGTAGCCGAGCCTTTGCATCGAAGCGAGACGAACGTTGAGCTTTCAATGATAGAGACATGTGAATAATTGCCCAAGGTGTTAAAAAAGGTCTCCATCATTGCAAGCTCACCGTTCAAGATGGCGCAGGGAACTGTGAAGGGGTCTATTGCGCAGATTTCTGTCTGTCCAACGAGAACGCTCTTTTTACAGGGTTGCTTCACAGGGAATTTCTCTAAGACTTATCTATCTAATATATTCGGCTTGTTTTATTCAAGGTTGTGGAGTATTTGCTAACCAAGGGACAACTAAACCCAAACGCTCTGGACGAAATTCTGCATGTAAGTCAAGAATCACTTTAATCTGCTACGACTAGCAGGCTATCTTTGAATGTCTAGATACATCAGTGCTCGTGAGACTGGTGGTAAAGCTTGAACGCGTTGCGCCTTACTGCTCTTCTTTTATTTTTCGTTAGATAGTTTGGGCATTGTTTTAAGGTCAATAAAAACTCGAAAATACGGTGCATATCTTGTGCTTGCAGGATTGCTGGCCACAGAATTTTAAATTCAAAATTACTTCAATTTTTTTTGCAACAAGACTATGAATAAAGGAGCGCTACCCAAATCTGGCCAGCGGTAAATGGCAATGTCACCTTTAATTGCCTGAGAAGATCGAGGAGATCACGCAGATTACGTGCACACACGATAAAGAAGTTGCGCTCAACGTTACAAAGGAAGACCTCGATTCTAATTTTGCAACGTTGAACGCTACAGTAACAGAGGTGGAGACAAGGTGCAATAGGACGTTTGCATGATGGCGTCATTTGACTCCCACTACCATAATGCTTCGCGAATTTTCTTTCTTATTCAAATTTGTATTTCCCTATGAGAATAGTAAGACAATTGGTGCTAATTAACTGAATAAAAGAAAGTGTGCAAAGGAGTCCGGTAGTAGAGGTCAGTGACGCCATCATGCAAACGTCCTATTACGCTCACTTCGCTCGCAGCCAGCGCACTTAATGCACGCTCAGAGTGGTCGACTTGGAGCAAGTCTATTGAACCGTGTGCCCGGGGCTCAACCTGTAAAAAAAGAAACGGAAGCGATTTAGAGTCCCTGTTAGTGCGCGTAAATGTCGAGAATTGACTTGAAAACCTGACTCCAAAGTGACTGTTTTATTTACAGGGTGTTCCGTTACATGGTGCAGCCGAATACGGTAGTGTTGACGCTGCCAGGAGTTTGATCGAACATGAAGCAAATGTAAGTATATTTGACACGCGGTGCAACGCTTGCGCGCACTTTAATTTTGCTGGTATGAGTTATGTCGTTTGTAACAACGTTTCCTGCAACCAAAGTATGATTTTGATCATATTCCACCATAACAGATATTATTTAAGGAAAGCGGAGTGGTTCTTGCCAACGGTGCACGGAAAAGTCAGATTTGTTTTACAGAGATTATTTTTTGCAGCATTACAGACGCGTTCTTACAAAGAAATCTTTTTGTGCAAATAGAAAGTACATTACTATTTATAAAGTAGATCTCGATTTCACTTCTGTAGCATTTCCAGCACAGTTTTACTCAACGTACTAAGTTACGGTGGGATTTCCATTGAAGAAATAGAACACTATTAAGTGTACTGTGTGCATCTATGAAGCGTGCGGGGGTTGGGCAGAACACGAGAGAAGTGTGAGGAGAAGCAGCACGACGCCTGGCGTTAAAGCACTTACTCACGCTACGACGCTACATGCAACGGGAGGGGTCTAATCGCTTGTTGAGCAATGTGCGCCATATCGCTGCGATCACAGAAACGAGAGAGAAGCTGTACGTTGCTAGTGTTCACACAATGTACGACCTCTTTTTAGTCTTATTCTGTTGCGATGTCTTATGCGCGCTTTTAGCTCGCGATCTTAAAGCTCAGGAGTGGAGGGCTATGACGCATTGCACAGAGAGACGTGCGCGTGTATGTCCTCATTTTCTCCTATAATATGTGAACACTGCAGTCAGTAAATTCAATAAGCTTATTGCTTCATGTTTCAACTACATTCAAATGGGAATAAATTTATTATCTTCCTTTAGATTGACCAGCAAGACCTGGTTGGTAATACTGCTCTACATATTGCCTGCACGAATGATCAGGTATATTTGTACACCAAACACATTGATGTAGCTAGATAGATGTAGTATTGATAGTGCATTGACGCACTATAACTGCTGCATCCAACGTTGATATGATACAATTTACGCAAATTTGTGCAAATAAAAAACAAACTACAATAACTGTTATTTTGGATAGGAATAATAATATTGTTTAATATAATATAAATTATTTGAAAGAGATTCTTTTGATTTACAGATGAATTTCCAACACTTCCTTCTAGAGAGAGGAGCCAACACAACGATAGTTAATTCAGGTAAGCGTAGTTCAAACACTGGTTCCTCCTTTTACTGCTCCGCTTATTTTGGGCCACCTGGTCCCCCCCCCCCCACCCCACCCCACACACACACACAAACGTTACTTCACCTTACAAAATTCTGAACAAATGACCAAAAAATATTCTTGACAAATAAAAAGTTTACTTTTGAACATTGTTTTCCTTTCTTGATGCAGATGGAGAAACACCTCAGCTAAACAAAGAATGAACCTTACAAATTTTAGATTTATTTTCTAGAACTACAAGGTATACAATCATGAGATAGTGAAGTAATGTTCTGACTGTATGGTTATTTATTGAATATTGTATTTATATTTTTATCGATTTTACCCTTTTATTATTATTTTCAAAGGAAAGATCTAGAAAATAAATTTTTACTTTTTGATTCTTTTGTTTATTATTTGTCAAGTGACGCTTGAACTATTGTACGACTTGAGCACACACTTTATGACAAGGTCAGGCCAGAATTGTGGGTACCTTCGATAGTGTTTTAATGTTTACAATGTACAAGCTCATGGAAGGGAGAGGATGAGATGATTTTGCAGGGTCTTGGGTGTCAGCAGGCAGGTTGAAGTTCGGTATAATTTTCATTTTATTTTGAGTGTGTGACGTAGGTATTTTTCAGACATCTCTTTTTGCACTGCGGAACTACATTAAAGCATTTTCTTTAAAAAAAATGGGCTAGTGAATTCAATACAGAACTTTTTCAATACTTGTTATTTTTATTGATGTTTAAGTATTTCTCTTACTGTGTAGGTCCAGAATATATCCATGCCTAGCCTGCCCACAGAGTAAATTGGAAGTTGTGGAGGGGATTGTTTGTATGGAAGAAAATTGGAAGTTCCTGGGGATGAAGGAGGGGGGGTCCTTTTACAAATTCACTCCATCATGGGGTATGGACATTTTCTGGAAAGTTCTACACAATTAGGATCAAGTGTGGTAATCATAATTGCAGGAGTAAGCAAAGGATTTAAAGCCCATGTGAATCAAGAACCGTTACTATTTTCTTAAGACCTGACAACGTCAAACTATTATAGTAATTTAAGTATTGGAAGTCTTTAATATTACAATTATATATCATTAGTATTACCTTGCAATCAGCTTTGAACCACTAAGCCAATAGGTGTAGAGTCATTATTAGAATGTCAAGTGTGTGGCAGGATTGTCCTGGTAGAATCAAATTCACTTACATATTAACCAAAGCATATATATGACTGAGACTAGTTATTTTTAGCCACTTTAATAAGTATAAATTAAATTAAATGGGGTGTTGCTATAGAAAGGCTTCGTAAGAGACAAAAAGTTCCAAACTTAATTTCAGCTACAAAATAATTCAAATCAACTTTAACTTATTTAACTAATTATTCCAAACCCAATTATGAATAATTACTATTTCACATATAGACTTGTATTACTCCTTCCTAGCCAAACAGAAAACTAGAAAAAAACTTACATTTTTGAGGTAGATTTTATATCTACCTTTTAATATATAATTCTTCTAATATATATCTTCCTGTTAATGTGTGATTATTATTTTTATAATTATATCAGATGTACAAGTAAGACATGTACAGAAAGCAACCAATATGTTATTTACAATTGATAAGGAAACTTATTACTTGATTTCAAATGTAATTTTATTGTCCAAGTGATGTTTCTATGATAACACCTCTGCAAGTAAAGCCTACTGAGTCTTTTAGGCAGCTATGATTGTGAACAACCCACACTGTATGGTAAGATGTAGGTAAATGGTTGTTTGTTAAGAAGTAAAAATAGTTCAGATACCAATACTGTAAACTGATAAACGTCTGTGATATATTCGAAATGACTTTTGGTCAAAAAAACCACCGAGTTACCACATGCAATCACTCAGCTGATCCACATCCTAGTCAAGAGTTTACTAGTTTACTTCCTTTCGCCAGTGGCATAATGGTAAGGTGTTGGTTAGTAGTTGCTAACGTAATGGGAAAATGTGGTAAGTATTGGACTGACCACTTACTGATACCTTACTGTACCATGTGGGTTGTTCACAATAGCTCTAAATTAAAGGATCTGCATTTCCTGATGTCCCTGGAGAAAGTTTGTGTAGTTTATGCCATGCCAGCCAAAAACAAAAAATCTTGTATAATTATTGGTAAGTAATTTCTACTTCTTCGATATTGTGATGGTATTTTCAGCTAATTCCATCAATGTATATAATTTTTTAAATCCCTAAGCACAAATGTTTTTTGTCCCACTACAGCAATTATTTTTGTGCTATCTTGTACAAGCAACTGGCAACAAGCTTTGGTTTTTGCCTTTATATAATTGTTCCTTGAAGTTACTAGAGTGATTTTATTTAATCCGTGAAACAAAGTGGTATGATTAGTGAGTAACAGTCAAAGTAAGACACAAGAAAACAATAGAATTAGCTTACTACATTCCGGGGGGGGGTACTCCCCTATATTCACTACATGGGTATGTGCCGCCAAACAGGGTATGGTTTTCAGCGTTTCTACTATGGAACAGGGTATATGAAATCACGCTCTCTCCTCTCTGGAACAGGGTTTTCAGCGATCTTGCTCTGGAACAGGATATGAATTTCAGCAATTTTTACTCTGGAATAGGGTCAGGGTTCAAAGGGCTCAGCGGCACATCCCTACCCTAAGCAGGCAAGAGTACCCCTCCCCCCCGGACTATATTTTCATGTTTTTCTGATTAATATTTTCATGTGTTAAGTAAAATCACTCGGCTTTGTAAAGAAGCACATCACTCGATACTATCACCGTAATTTTTCATTGCTATGTGCTGATCAAGACAACATCGCTGCCATCAAACAAGCAAATTGTTAGTTGCATACTCTGTTCGCCTGCAGTGTATTACTGATTTCCATGTTGAAACTGTCGTCTCAATCAGTGTGTAATGACTCTGACTTGAGATTCATTTGTACATTGTCATTTCTAGATTTTGATATAGACACATGTAAGCATCACCAAACAATCGTTTCATGTTTGGAGGCAGCTGTCCTTGCTCACTTGCTCTGACAATGTCTTCATCCTTTTTGGAAAGCCATTCTTTTGCCTCTGGGCAAGGTGTCACAACTGGGATGTTGTACCCATTTGTCTCTCCTGTAAACAATAAAATATAACTCACTTAGGATTTAGAATTTGGGAGTTACAGTGTAGGCAGTCTTCATAGTTTTTGCTAGCCAAATTTCTCATTGATAGGAGATTCAGATAAAACTAGATGACATATATTTCTTAAAATGTCTAGTCGTTCTAGCGATCTCACACTAATTGGGGACACTTTTCACTCAAACACTCCATCACTATATTTGATCACCTAGAGTAGAGCTGTTAAATTGTAAAATTCATTCAAGCTATCATTGATTTCAGGCAGACTTTACAGTATTTTTTCTTGTCTTGAGTTACCTTTTCTGTCAGCCATACTGTCAAAGAAACACCACTCTGAATCATCACCGGTGCCGCACTTGACGAAAGCTACGTAGTGACTAGTTGCTATGCAGACCACAGCAAAGAGATCCATGGTTTCAATTGGAAGGTGTCCTGGTTCACATGGACGTTGACTGAACCCCCTTGGCACAGGAAGGGGTCTGGGTTTGTGGCCAATACGTTCTCGCTTGTTATGGAACTTTTTAACACATTCATCACAGTAGCTTAAGTTTGATAACTCTTTTGCAGGATAGCAATCTTTACATTCGTAGGTGGACACTGCTCCACACACTGAACACTCGCGAGGAACTGAGGTAGAATTAGTAAAACAATGTTTAGTATTCAAGGTAATTAGAAAAATGTTGCATGTGTAAAAGTCTCCTTCAATTACCTAGTACCACATGCCACATGACTGTGTCGATGAAAGCACATTTCACAATCATGCATTACATAACTATCCATAAAATATTTGAGATATAACGCGCACACTGATTGGCTGGCTACCTTGTTTATATCAGAGGACAGAGACACGCTCGCGCAATATCATTCAAAAATGTTTTATAAAGCAATATAAAATGTCCGCTTGTGTCTATATACTGTGATATAAACACGATGGGAGCTGTAGAGCACTTGAGAAGTCAAAGAAACACTTGGCTACGCCTCGTGTTTCTCTACGACTTCTCTCTTGCTCTACAGCTTCCATCATATTTATTAAGTGTCCCGGATTAGTGTGCTACTTGTGGCATGCTAGAAGTTTGACGTTAATAAAGTTCATGTATGTATCACAGTATATAGACATGYGTGCCGTTTTATATTCCTTAATACAAAACTATGAGCCATTCCCATTCATTTCGTTTCTTTGCTTGAGTCTCATTCATATTAACATATCTTCTCACATTTCACTTGTAAACAAAATGAAGAAAGAATACTCAAGAGAATGACACATGGTATGAAATTGATGATAATATTGTGACGATACAGATGATTCAGTGTGGTGCTGTGTGACTGGTGTTGTCCAAGCAAATAGCGTTTTCCACAAATGACATCACAATTCTGCATCATGGGATTGAAATGCGGATAAGCCAAGCCAAGCGAACATAGGCACATGCTGCAACAATGTTTTGTAGTCTTGTTGTTTCCAATTCATGTAAAAACTATGGTTTTTCGACTGATATTCTTCTTTTCCATGAAATCGAGCCATTATTCACAATGTTTGTCCGCATTTCGATCCCACAAGGCTTTGCAATATCTATTTTTAGTAACCGTTAAAAATGCTATTGGTAATGGTAAACGATTAGTTATCTGCAGACAGCATACTCATTTGGTAACATATTGTCATGCTATCAATCATCTACCAATGGCCATTTTAGGGTTGCATTATACACTATTATCTTCGATACATTGGTACAGTATATTTATATAGTGCTTAATTCACCGTATCATGTATCTTGTCTTACCATTTTCAAGAATATGAGTGATGTCTAGCTTCAAGTTTGGTAGAATAAAGTCATACATTTTGTATCTTTTACCAAACCTTGGCATCTGGAGTATCAGACAGGAAGGTACCTGACAAAAAACCAAACGTTTTAATAATTGCTTTATTAATTTTAGTTTTTTATTTATCAATTATTATAGGTACATGTTTATATTGAATAATAAGGCTTAATTTTGAGTACTCTGCACTTCATGCATAAGGAAGGGATTGGCTGACCTTTCTGTTACATTTACCAACCTCTTGCCAACCATAAATTTAGGGACCACTTAGAGGCATTTCAAGACAGCCAGGTGAAGTGGATCAAAGAGGTTTGGCCAAGATTGGTAAACACTACATAAGCAAAGCCTAACTAAGCAAATCTTACCTCAGCTAATTTGAGATCAGAGAAAAGGAAAGATTGTTCAAGAAGTTTTTGAACTGGCTGACTTTTTTTAGTGTCATCTTTTTCTGTTATGATCTGATAATAGTTTGTTTCTTCAATTCTGTTATTTGGGGTTCTGAAATTAGCAAACATGGCATAGTACGCGTGATGAGATGGTGACCATTAAATCTTAATGTCAAGTGGTGTGGGAGTGATGTGTGTCCTCATGCTTGTTCTCTCTCTGATCCTGGTTTCAGACTAAATTAACCTCTATTAAGGCCAGTTTACACGGTACGATATTTGCCTACAACTATCGTATACGATAGTTGTAGGCAAACACACCATCCTTCAATTCAAGTCATGTCTAAATTGTGTATTTTGAGAAAAAATCCAATTGTCTCTTTAGTTTAATTAGTCGAGGCTGGCTTTGGAAATTCCACAGAGAAAGGACAAAAACAGATTTTGACCCCATTCTCCTATATGTCCAATATTTGACAACCATGGGAGCTTGGGGTACAGACATTTCTGAACTGCTGTAGACAATTTTCCCTTCAGGAATAACTGTTTTGGCCCATCCCAATGCTATACGAATAATATTAATTAAAACATACTTCAGTTTAAGCAAAGCGTCACTTTTAAGCACTTGGTGCAACAGAGTGTTGAGGAATTCTTCAGGATCTAGACAAAACAAGATAAAGAAATCAAAAACGACGACTGGTATAGTGTGTATGAAGTCAGAAATGAGTGTAGGTTTTGGACACTCTCCCCCCCCCTGGATCTGTCCTTGATATGGCACTGGTGCAAGTCTGAACTGTGGAAACATTTCTCCCAATGAAGCTGAAGAGCTGTATTGCAAACCTGAGTTTTACATCAGGGTAGAGGCATGGGATTTCTTAAAAGAACAGTGTTTACCTTTCTCTTCATTCATGAGTCCTGATGTTGAACCCAGTTCATCAAGAAGACTTCTTAACTTTAGGACAAAGTCAGCTCTCACAAAACCACCACTAGAAGAAAATTACAATGGAGTTGGTGATAAAAGGCTACTATATGAAGGTCATCAGTGAAATGATGTATCTTACTGGGACGTACAGTTGATCCCTTTAGCAGTGAGAGCACATGTCTCTCATCAATGCAGCCTAGGTTTGATTCCTGGACTTGGTTTTATTTTTGAGGAGTTTTTAAGTTGGTTCTCTCCTGTGGTTCAAGGCTTTTTCTCTGGGTTCTCCTGCCCTAAATAGGCCCTTTACAGCTAAGCAATCACGTGCTGATTAATTCACTGAGAGAAAATGTATGAAAATTTTGATTCCCAAGGGTGAAATTTACTGGACTGCAAACAAACTTTCTACAACCTGTTTCGAGAGATCGTAATAAAACTACATTTCGTRACACACTGGAATGTGCACTGAATGGAATGAATGGAATGAATCACCAATTTAATATAAAAACAAAAATTTTGCAGTCCAGTACAGACACGTGACCATTAACTGCAAAGGGCCTATTCCAATTTGATCATGGGACAAAGACAACACTGAGGTTTTAGAGTTACCCTTGTAAAACAAGGCAATTTACTTACTTTCTAAGAGGGTTTACTATGTATTCTTTGAGTACTCGCTGAACTGCATCATACTGTTCAAGATCCTCCCTATTTTTCTCTCTGTGTAACAGGCTATCAAATACAGTGGAAAAAGAGAACATGCTGTAGAGTGTAGCATCCAAGTAACATGAGTTGTGGTGTCCCTGGATGCCTTTCATTCTCCCTTGGTTCTGCCTGGTCAAACTGGTAGGCGGTGGTACTATGCCAGTTACGACTGGAGACTCAATGCTACCAAAAGCTGGATAAAAGACAAGGTTAATTAATTTTCAGATAAATAGCTTTTACTGTTTTTTTCCCATTGTTTTTCCCTGTTTTTTTTCCTTCTCTTTCTTTCCTTCCATTCTCTATCATTATATTATCACTTTTTTTTTTGTCTTTCCAATTTTTTTCTTCCTCCATGCCTACTCCCATTCTTTTTTATCTATTTTTCTATTCAATGAACAAGACTAAAGTGTATAGGAGCATAGAGCAGAGTTCGTGACTGTAATAGACTCATGATAAAACATGTTATGCCAATGTAAGAGCAATTCTAATTGGATTAGCAGTAATTTCCTACTGCATGATTGGTTCAAGGATTTATTAATGCTATGCTATGTAGTATAGAGAATATTCATTCATTACATTCTGCAATTGTAAAGAGACTAATGYATATAATTATGAGGATTTTACAATCATACGAAACCACTCTAAACAACCTGTTGAATCAGACAGGATAATTTTAGCTGGATCCGCCCTTGCAACTTGCATTCTGAATGGCTGGCTATCATATATTTATAGAGGACAGACACATGCACACACACAAACGTTCAAAAAAAAAATTATAAAAGCAATATAAAATGGCTGCTAATGTCTCTGTATCATGTATTATAAATACTCTGAAAGCTGTAGAGCACTCAAAAAGCAAGAGAAACACAAAGCTACRCCTCATGTTCCTGAGCTTTTTTGTCTCGTTCTCTACAGCTCCCAGCGTGTTTACATTTATATCACAGTATGTATAAAGAGAAGTGTGTGCATTTTATATTCCTTAAATATAATCAACATAAACAAAGCTTTTTTAACCTTTTCCAGAGTATTTAGCTGCTCCAGGAGAATCCAGTTGGAATCTTGAATCTTTCCGGCAATGCTGCAAGTTTACAAAGAAAGCTCTTCCTGATGGACAAGTGAAATACCTTTTTCCTCCAAACATCCCATCTGAACAGGCTGCTTGTTCTGTCTCCTAAAATTGTCATTAAGAAAAAAGCAACCATAACGGTTTAGTGAAATTCATAACCATTTTGTTATGATTATGCTACATGCAAATACAGTCTTTCTGTGTGGGTTTTTGCCTTTAATACAAGAATCAAGAATTCATGCCTCCAAACGGTATGCAATTCATTGTGGGATAGCAAAAAAGTTGCGTGCACCAACACCTATAAATACAGTCAACTCTCGCCTTGCGGACACCCCGATATTACGGACACTTTGATATAATGGACAGGAGAAAAATCCCTGATAAAAATACTGACAAAGAAATGACCGTAAAAAACTCTTGCTATCACGGACACTCACTATTACGGACATGAAGTGACGGTCCCAAAGGTGTCCGCTGTAACAAGAGTTGACTGTACATGCACTTTCATTGAAATACAGATTTGGCATTTAAGACAGAAGTTAAAAAGCCCCAACATGAAGAGCTGTGTTGGTCACATTAAAATACTATTACTATATACTGAACATACAAAACTACAGCCTTATGGCACATCCTGAGGGCTTATTGCTCAAGTCTAGCGAGGTCTTGTTTCATAACCACTATGTACTTCATAAGAAGTAAATTAATGAGGTTTCACATATTTTCATGAACAGTGTACGACAGGTCTAAGGGGGTGTGGGCCGGGGGTCATGTCCAAATCTTTAGTAATTCCAAGGACATTATTCTAGTTTAAAATTAACTTAAATTTAGCCTGAGCCTCTAACTTTTCAAGATCCTGAACTAGTACTGCCTTGGATTTTAAATGAGTCAACTCTTTCTTCCCACGTGGAGAAACTAAGATTGAAATTTCAAATTCAATCAAGAAACTTCATCAGAGATACAGCCTGACAAAAAACGATTCATAAAGAAAACTATTTATAATATAAATTCAAGGTATTTTATAAGGTTAATATGCTTACAAGTTCCAGACCAGCAACAGTTTTTCCAGGAAGTTCAGGCAACTGTCCAATCCATCTGATGACCCCATATTGAGTACCTTTGTTTTCCATTATTGGTACCTCTACCATGGAACCTATCTCAAGTCCAGATGCTATAATTTGTTCACTAACATCTTCTTCATGAGTCAAACCTGCGCTGAGTTCATGATCCCTCATGTCAATATCATTTTGAGACACACTCGTAACTTTGTGTTGATCGAGGCCACTAGATCTTGTTACAGGTTCTTTGGAATTAAAACAACTAGGAATTCGATTGCTGTCTAGTGCACTGCTTGCACTATATGCAGCCCTCATTTCAATTCCATGAGTTCCACTTCCACTAGAATCAATGTCATTGTATTTATTCTCTGAAGATATATTTTTGGAATGCATATTAAACCCACCACTTCCTGCAAAAAAGTAAAAAGCATAAGTTGGAAATGATGATGTATATTTTATACAAGGGTCAATTCAGGTAAGGGGTCACAACCTTCTCCCTAAGAATTTTGGTTCTTCCATAGAGTAGAACTTGCCGAATTTCTGAGTTCCTTTTAGACCAATAACTATCCTTTTATACACAGCGGTCACTTCTGACAGCTTTCCCACCCCTCACCATCATTGATAATTTGCTGGCCACTCTTACTAATAACACATTCTGGGAATCAAGGATTGCTATGGGTAACATCGGCGGCGTAGCGGTGAGAGTGCTCGCCTTTCATCAAGCTACCCGGGTTCGAGTCCCCCCAGACTCGGTGACATGTGAGTAAAGTTGTTTGTTGGTTCTCTCCTGTGCTACAAGGGTTTTCCTCCCTCTACAAAAATCAACTCCTAATTTCMWATTGGAATTACAGTGGATGAAGAGCTGCTCTGTGAAAATGCCACTGCTATGTCCTATTCATTTATTTTATTACACCACATCTTTCTCTTTTACTCCAATGAAGGACTTGCATCCAAACTGTCAGTAACTTTTTTTGTCTTTTCACGGTGCATAATTTACCTTTTTATCATTACTGTTTCATTAGAAACACTGATGCAGCTCACACTAGTTTTTAGCTAGCTATCTCTTCTTATTTTATTACAGTGACTGTACTTGTCTGAATTCTGTACATGCATTGAGTGAGTAGAGTTTGTTTGGTCTCTCTCTAGCTCTTAGCTTGAGGATTTTTTTCTGCAAATACAGTAAATTCCATTCCCCTCTGTGGGTCAGCCAGCCCTGACTTACATCAACCCAGATCAACCCAGAGGTTGTTCCAAGAAAATATTTTTTAATTAATCAAAATAAATAATGAATTAAATAGACTATAAATCCTGGTATTTATTATTTACCTTGTGGGTTCTCTTCTTGATAAGGTGTTGACACTCCTTCACTTGGCTGATAGAATGTTGACTGCCCAGCTATGATTTGCAATGAATTCCCTTTGGGACTTCTATTATAGTGTTCATCAACAAAACTCATCTCATCTTTACCTGCTTTTTCGCCTGATTGAAATGGGATAGACGTCGCAGAGTTTGACCTTTTGATCCCACCATTTTCTAAGCAATTTCCAAGGAAAAAGGGGAAAAAATTTACACATTTGTTAACTTTGTCTACTGAATAGCAATGAACTCTGATTTTGAATTCTGCTGGTTTTCCTGGGRTTTAATATATTTATAATAGATTATCTATGAGTCCAATGAAATCCTCAAATCTATGAATAGTTGGTAAAACAGTTTTAATTAATATTATCATTTTTTCATAACTACATGATTAACAGCCCAAGATATCTGTGTTCTAATTTTTTGTTCAATGAAAAATACTGTCCTTTGAAATTAATTGGCGAAAGTCAAAACCCCAATCATCTCCAGTAAATTGATTGTGGCTACAATCTTGGACAAAACTGTTGTTACAATGCTTTTTCCACGGCCGACTTTCAATAAACTCAGTACCTTTTATTTGTTTTCTTTTAGTCCCCCTCAGCCCTAAATAATGCTGTTCTGGTATTTTACTCCCCCCATTGCCCCCTTAACACTGTCTTGTAACCACATTTCCAAAGGTCTCAATTTCAAAATAAATTTTTATGGGGACCTCTGTCCCTGGGGGAGGGGATCTATGTTTAATGTTAATTACTGCCTTGAATTTCTTCATATAGAAAGTCTTTGTGTACTTGTATATCATATTAATTTATCAAATAACTAACATCCTTTACAACAGTTGTATAACTTACCAAGTTCTCTGGATCCAGGGTTGGCCTGATGATAACCTAGTGATGCAGGGAAACCATCACTTTGAGCTAATCTGTCAGCAACTGGGTAAATGCTGGCTTGTTCAGAGCTATTATATTCTTCCTCGGGTAAGACAGAGGTTACTGGTATAAACAATGCATGACCCTCATTACAGACAAATCGATGTCTTCCTTTGAAAACTCCAGTACCAGCTCCCTCTTTTTTATCCTAAAAATAAAACAATTATGAAGTGATCAAGTCAGTCAATTTGTTACTCTGAAAATCCAACCTGTGATCAGCTATTGGATTCTGTATTTTATACCAACTGTTAGGTAAAATTAGTGTCTAGACATGTACTCTGTTGGTCCCATTGGTGCTCATGTATCAACAGTTTATGGCCTGACACTGAACATGGGACACAAGTACCAAATATTAATGGGAGGTTCTTATATAACACATTTCACAGTTAGTTATCTCAATGCTCTTTTACATTTATGACCAGTGGAGGACTTTACAGGCTGCATATTTAGACGCTATATAGCAGTCGTGCAGCTTACAATCAACAGTGAATTTTTAGTACATTAGTGTTAAGCATCCAAATTGGGATAGGCTGTTGAACTGGGAGACAATCCCCTACAGGTTGTCTTATGTCCCCCATTTTACTGCAGGCTAGAAAGAATTGAGAGTCAGGGCCTACAGTTTAAAGTTGTTATCTGAGAAGATTTGAAGGTCTAACCATTTGCAGATGTAATTACAAAGGCAGGCAGCACCTTCTCCTCAGTTGTTTTAAGACCCTGAGTGTTGGTCCGGCTGAAGTTTCAACCACGACCTCCCGCATAACAGACCAGTACTCTTACCTTAGATCAGTTTTCGTACGACTGTGAAAAGCTCAGTGCCGTATGCATGCCGTGCCGTGCTGTGATGTTTTCTAGAATTTTAAATGTCCTATTGTTTTTTCGCGCAATGTGATTGGTTTCGACAGTGCTGTGACTTGGCGTGACCATCACCGCGCAGTGTTCGTGCCGCGTTTCAGACATTTGATTGGATGGAGAGTAAATTCTCGTGCAATGTGATTGGTCTGACGTATCCCTTGCTGTGTCACRACCATGTTCATGTCGTGAGCTTTTCATAGTCATACGAAAACTGCTCTACTGAGCTAACCGGGTGGCAGTCAAACCAATGCTACCAAACATTAGCCAGTGTTTCTGGCATTCCTAAAGCATTTGTTTTGCGGCTGGATATCTGAGGTGTAATATCAAGGACTATTAACTGTAGAGATTAAGAAGATATCATACCCTTTGGAGGAAGATTGTCAAAATTGCTATCAATAAGACTTATATGTTGCCATTATTGTCTACTATAATTTATGTAAAGCTTAAATTACCAGTTCTATTCCAACAGGACAATCACCATGACTATCTACTCGTCCAGATATGTATCGCACTGTCCCTCTCAGTGGCACCTTGATTTTATCATCTTTATACTCTGGAAACACAACAACTCTCTGGTCCATTTTTAACTTATGTTCTTTTGCCATGTTTCTAACTGCAGAAGTATCTTTGCTTGAAAATGATGGAATCATATCCTTTAAAGTAGATAATATCGTTGTTTCCTTCTTGAGAGACTTATCCTGTTCTTGCCGAGGACGCAGTTTATCCAATGCAACAAAGACACCCTGATCTTGTGGACAATCAAAGTATTTTTTATTTCTAAATGTACCATCACATGTACCCTGTCCTTCAGATTCCTAAAAGAACATAGTAAAATAATAAGTATTTCGTAGTTTCAGAAGAAGTTTAAACCTTTCTGAGAAAGTGGAATTGATATTAGTTAAGAGTGCTTATCAAGTTTATGACATAACCTTAACAACTTGGACATCTGATTGGTAAATATGAAAGCCAAATCAAGCAAGTCTAGTCTGAAATTCTCTGGGCCACAGWAACGYGAACACTGTTSTAACCAATCCTCTCTYATGCATGTATATGTTTATGCTTGCAGATTCCAATCAGATGGATGCCTACACATACAAGCACAGTACTAGGCTTTACTAGAAAAGCATTCTATAAAAAAAAGACTGAAACAATACTAAGAAAAAAACCGCCATTAGTCTCTTAGCTTATTCGATATTTTGATGTTTTACAGTTAACAGATGTTAACTAAATATAAGCTTAAGCTTACAAAATCACAAATAACTAATGGTGCTATAACGTTTAAGTTATATACAGTGGTACCTTTCCCAGTAGTTCGACACCAAACATAATGCCTTTATGTGTAGRTAAATGACCTTTATACCAAATTACTCCTGGATATTCTTTATGTGGATCTTTTAACTTGACAAAGACTTGATGACCAACATCCAATGTTTTTCCATAAGCTAACCGATTTCGTTTTTGATAAGTTCGAAACCTTTCCTCCAGTGAAGATATAGCCAAAAGCAAGTCTGCTTCGCTGTTCGTGATTTTTGACACATCCAAGGTAGGACATTCTAGATTGATGCTCGGAATGGAGCCAGAAAWAACTGCTARAGCGATTWYRTYAGKATCYTCTGGTTGCTCTGATTCTGGCAAAGCCTTGAAAATTTCACCCCGAAGAAKTTGAGTAGGRACATCTTTAGTCGATAACCATCCTTTTTCAACGTGCTTGCCCACTCGATCGTTCATTAATATATATTTTTGAAGGGTTCCATCCATACTTTGTKTAWCACCAAGGCTCGATCAGAGCATTAAATAAAAGACATCTTTAGATCTTTCTTTAGTTGTTGACCGTTTCTCCACTTCCGCCATCTTGTTTGGGAAATTCCCTTGCGCCTCGTTTTGGTGCTTTCAGTTTCTATTTTTCAATCATTACGTCATGCTAATACGCATRCATCCTAACTAAAGTATAGGGGAGGGGTGGGTGCTTGCGTCAATATAAAATTCCACTTTTCCCACATAAACGATATCTGGTTTTTTTTTATTTCTTTGCAAATAAACTTTATTCCATATATTGAATTTAATTTCTTTTTCTTGTTTTTTTCTCTCMAATATTTGGCTCCAGCGAAATTAGTGCTGATCTTTTTCCACGTGACCGAAATGAAGTGTGTCCTAAAAATAATCAACACATGATCCTCATTCCACTGACTCTGTCTTGGGATATTTCAGTGTGTGCCACATTGATATTATTATTGCTTAAAGCGTGCCAAGGGATCTTTTTTTCAAGCGGGGATATTCAAAAAGAGGTGAGTGGTTGGTTAAAGGCTCCAATGCAACGCCGAAATAAGAGGCAAACAAAAAACAA